CCGCGCGCGCATAGTGCGCCGTAACTCCGATCACCCTTGCCACGTGGCGCTAAACCCCGAGAGTGGGCAGTGGCCATAGGGGGGTGCTCTCTAGAGAATACAGCTGGCTGACTTTACCGCGCGCCGCGTGTCAAAATATAAGTACCGACGTGCGCGGCGGTTCGATTTCCAAGTTCCGTACGGTCTGGGTCGATTGACACTGCAAATTGCCTCAATTTGCCTGAGGGCTGCGCGGACCGTCGATGATGATTTGACGGGCAAGATTACACCTTATCGCTTCGATCGAATCTTGAAATGTCAGAAAGATAGGGGCGGGTCCGCAAGCTTCTTCTACAACGCTATTGGCATTGTTATAGTACATATCATATCTGTAGTGCCCAAGTAATTCGACGACGCAGATCGCAACAAGATCTGCAGTGCATGCATGAGATACTGAGCTAGATAATTGCATGAGGTTCTCAATACATTCAATATGACGCAGAACTTAGTATCATGCGTGGATGAATATTCTGGCGCTGAGTAGAGTGTACACTTATCGTTATTGGGAAAAGCACGCAAATACAGTATATGGCCCATGAACCGTTGAAAGGAGTTGCATACGCGCCCGCTGGCGTGGCATGGATTTGGGCATTTGCCGCAGATGCGTATGTACGTTTTCAGAGTGTTCGTGCACCGGCCAGCTCTTGAAATACTGTATCGTTGCACATTACAAGCCAATACACGTCAGCTAGGCTGTTGAAGCTATGTTTGCACCGGGCCTGCAACAAGGCTGGCACTTGAAAGCGCAGGGCGACAGATACGCAGGGTTTGAATTCAGGATTCCAGTATGTATAGAACATGGTCACGAGATACTCGCATCCGTAACAACATGAACATCTATCGGTCTTTATGTAGAGCTCCATTGTACAAGATTAGGGTATTATTTCCCACCTCCACTGTACCCGCTATTCCCCCACCCTTCGCCCACAGGTTCCGCTGTGGGCCTTCTCCGCCCTCACCTCAGCTTGTCGAAGTCGAGGGGATCGTCCGTAGGTGTCCCGTCCTCGAGCAGCGGGTCATCGCCTGCAAAGTCTGAAACAGCACGTCGTGGGTACACACGAAAGTAACGGGGCAGAATCACTGGTGGTAATCTTGGGATGTTTCGTTTTTTTACGGATTTCCAAGAGAATCAAGCAGGCTTCAGGGAGGTGGGCCGTCACCTGCCTCCATGTGACGAGGCAGACCCTTCCGACCATGTCTGATTTGCAAGATTCTCACTTTGTCTGTGGGGTTTTGAGAAATAACTGTGTCCTTGGGGACCGGAACTCGTGTTACGGTGCAAGCAGGTTTGCAGCCGTTCGGTCTCTTTGAGAGGGCAGATTCAAAGCCGAGGTCAAGCAACAGTGTCGTTCGTGCTGACCTGCGTCGAGGTTCCTGTCGGGTGACCGCAGGAAGGCCTCCGCAGAGTCGGGGCTGAACACGAGCGGCGACCCGGACAGGCTGCCCAATAGGCCCAGCTGGCCTGCGCGCCATAAATAGAGAAGCACGGGGGTGAGCGAGAGTTTTCGGACGGACTCCCACGATGCTGTTATGTGGCAAGTCGGAGGTTGGTTGCACCAGCAAGCGTACACTTGGTTCAAAAATATTCGTGCGGTGGACTGCTTCCAAAGGCGCCTGTATGTGATGACTTGAGAAAGTCACAAGATTGAATTGAGTCCTTCGCCCGGGTCCTGCTGCAAAGGGCAGAGTTTTCATGTGTTTGCTGGGGTACTCAGGATAGTCCACTAGAAAGATCGAGGCAGCCTTACCAGTCCATCCGTCCATCCACGAATCTCTTACATTCCGTTCTAAACCTCACAGGAACACAAACGGTTAAACTGAAGTGATACTTGTGCTGCGTGGCAGATATCAGCGCCCGGCGTATGCCAATCCCGCCATGCTTTTCTGCAGATTCGCTGCTCCGCTCACCGTCGTTGGCGGACAGGTTGTTTCCCCCCAGCTCCGCCGCTCCCGTGAGATCGCTCAAGCTGAAGTTCCGCGGCAGGTGCCCCAGCGCCCCGAGGCTCTCGCTGGGCTTCATCCCGATGCCGGTGTCCCCCGGCGTGAGCGCGCCGCCCTCCGCAGAGTGCGGCTCCTCATGATGAACCGGCGGGTGTGCTTCGGGGCTCATAAAGCTGGCCTCCATGGGCATGTCGGGGGGCCCGCCCATGTTGATGGCGGCAAACGGCTCGAACGCGGGCGTGGCGTCGGAGCTGCTCGGGGGGATCCCCCCGGGGGAAGACCCGGGGCCCAGACCGGGGGGAAGAGGGCTGCCCGAGGATTGGAGGGGGCTGCCCAGGGCCATGCTCCTGGCAGGGGAAAGAGACGCGTAAGCAAGCTCCGCGGATTTGCATAATGCAATGAAGCACCAAAATTGGGAGGCACACGACCAATCTGATTGCGGTGCCGATCCCTGAAGCGTCTGATTGACCCGTCTGACTGAAGGGAAGTTTTCCACACGGCAATTGTGAAGGCGGTTCTATCCGATTCTTTGCAACTCTGCCAACCTGATCAATCTAAACGTTCTGTTCGAAGCGCCTTCTCCTGAGCTTGAAATCTGTGTTGTACACAAAACGACAACGGCCCAAACGAGACGCCAGTGCACCGAGGCAGGCAGTCTCAGGTTGCAGAAGTGCGACTCGATTTAACGGGCGTCTTCCGCTGTCCTTCCAGCCGACAAGATCAGCATCGTACGTATCAGTCCGCCTAAACCAAACGTGTTCAAGAACCTCAGAGACCGCATGCTCGATTGCTTAGCGCAAACATTGTTCTTCTCCTTACTGGAGTACAGCTTTGATCACCTCCCGCCTCTGTGCATGCATGTGAAGGAACCGTTTGGAACACGGAGCACGTTCATTTCTCTTCAAAACAAAATCGAACAGCTAATACAGCCTAGCCGAGACGAACAGGGACCGCCCGCTCACCCTGGCGGTCCGCCTGGATGCGGAGCAAACGGCCCGGGTGGCCCTGGGGGAGGGCCCATGGCCATGTGCGCGCCCCCGTTGAGCATGCCCGGGGGATGCAGGCCGGGCATACCGGGGTGGAGGGGCATCCCTGGGGCAGGGGGCCGGGGCATGGGGACACCGTATGGGGGAGGAGGACCCATGGGATGCACTGCAGGATCGAGACCAATTCTCCGCATTCACAAGAACGTTTGTTTGAGCTGCAATGAGAACCGGGGAATGCATGTGGTGCGAGCATGGCTAGCCTTGAACCGAGACCCAAACTCTGATATGGCTGGTTCCGCAAGCCGCAACAACCACACTACAGTTACAAACTGTCTTCCGCAAATTGAGCGGCTGGAACTGAAGGATGCGTTGTTCTCGGACTGTAGCGTGCAATAGACCACGGCCACGAGTCCATGTGGACAACGTTGGCATAGAGTAGCCTTTACGGAACGCCCAGAAGCAAACAGCCTCTCTTTTAACATTCAATAACGTGAGACCACGAAGCATGGTCTGTTGTGGCTGACTGATAGCAAACGTCTCACGTCCCTGCACCCTTCAACACATAGTTTCAGAGCTGGGAATGCATGCGGGCGTGCTCACGGTGCGGGGGTGGCGGGAGCGGGTGCGGCTGCTTGTGGGTGTGCGGCGCGTAGTTGCGCAGCTTGTGCATGAGGTGCACGTGCTGGTCCAGCAGGTGGTTGAACAGCGTGATCTGCTCCTTCACCTTCAGCCGCACGTAGTACCCCGCGAAGAACGCGGGGTTCTGCTCCTCCAGCTTCTGCCACACTGCACGCACAACAAAGACATGCTGCGCGTGAAAGTCGGAATCCACACCCTGGACTCTCTCGCGTTTGTCGCACTGTAGTGATCCACGGGCGCAGAGATCGAGGTGGCAATCAGAAGACGGTAGAGCCTTCGCTTCTCCCCTTGCTACTTTGCGCCGCGCGGTAGCCAGCAGGGAGGAAGTGGGTGTAACAATCCCAGAGTAGGGTCCACCAAGAAGCAACCGCTCACTGGAAATAGAATGCCCTTCACGGACTGGTAAAAAAGACACAGGATAGTCACAAAGTTTTCAAAAAATGTTTTTAGGGGAGGCTGATAGTGGTGCACAGGCACCAAGCTTTTTGTCAACTTGAACGACTTCGCCCACCAGGTCCGCTTGGGAAAGTGCAAAACAAGAAACGAACCCATCAACTGCGAAGCCCACATGTCCATACCATGAACCCAGATAGGGCCCAGAACGATATCTGTTCTGGCCAGTTTCTAGTCGACTCCCTTGCTCTATCCTTGTAATGCATATAACTCCCATTCTTCCTGAAACCACCTTGCACCCCCCACAAACTTTCGCTTCCCTCGAGCTGTAGACCAGACTAAAAAGCCGCTTCAGAAGTCATCACAATTCAGTGTCAGGACTGACCTAGGCTCGTAAACCCCGGTTCGATCTTGGCCTGGAAGCTGAGCGTCTGGATGACCTCGCGCTGGTTCATGTACAGCTGCAAGCACCGCTCGATCAAGTTCTGCACCAGCTGAATGTCCTCGCACGAGATCTTCCGCGCCGGCCCTCCCTTTCCCCCGCTATTGCTCGGGCTCGGAGCGCGCCCCCCAGGAGGGGCCCCCAGGGCGCTCGCCCCAGGCTTCCCTGCTGCTGGGGGGGGCGCCCCGCCCTTTGCCTGCCCCGTCACCGCCACCTGCTTCCCCACTCCCCCTCCGGACTGGACCAACCGTTGCGCCCCCTTGGGAGCTAACCGCGCCTGCGCCGCACCCCCCTGCTTCGGCGGCCGCCCGAGCGGCTTCTTCCCCTGGTTGGTATAGCGGGGGGGCGGCGCGGGGCGCACCACCTGAGGGGGGGCTGGCGCAGGCGCAATCGCCACCGCCTGAAGTGCCCCCCCGCCGCGCACCCCCGCACCTGCCTTGTCCCCAGCAGCCCCCTGCTTGGAGGCACCTTTTTGGGGGCCCCCAGGAGATGGCTGCGAACCCACATGTTTTCCCCCGGGGGATAATTGGATGGGAGGGGGGGGCAGCATGTGGGAAGAAGGCGGCCCCCCCTGAAAGTGTGAGGGATGCATGACGGGCCCAGGGTAGTGGTAAACGTGGGGGTATGGTTGCATATAGCCGTGGGGGGGTTGGATGAACTGGCCCTGGGTCCCCATGGGGACCCCCTGCGCCAGCGGGGCGGGGGCCTTGGAGCCCGGTGGGGCGCCACGTCCAGCAGCAGGCGCACCTGCGCAACAAGAGCGAAATGGGGCATTGCTGGATTTGCACAGCAATTATCAGGCTCTTACGATCTTTTCAGCCCACGTTCCTGGTTGACGAGTAGTTTGTTCTGCCCAGCAAATATTAGTTAATCAGATAAATGGTTTTATTCCATGACCTGAGTGCCCTGTTGAGGAGTGTTGGTGAAACCGCACTGCAACCGCAGCCGCAACTTCTTCCAATCCTCTGTCACACCGCAATTGACTCCCTGATTAGCACCACCATCCATTAAGCATCTTAACAACAAATGCAAGGGCCAATTGGGCACAGCTCAATGCCGAAGCTTGTGCCCTTGACTTAGAAACCAGTAATTCACAACCAAAAAGCGCAAAAGAAAAGGCACAAGTTGCCAATGTTTACCAACCATTTGCACCCTCAACCCCCTTCCTCTCTAAGGTCAGCCGAGACAGACTTCCATCGTTGAAGAGTCTACATGGACAATTGACTTTGTCAATATTCTGTAGAAGTCAGAGATCAAAGGAAACAAGAAGCACAAATTCTTGAAGTGTTTTATCATCGCTCCATCTCTTGAGGACTGCAGCTCAAAGATACTGTCCTTGCATCTTCCCCAATATTGTCACACGTCAACGTCTGCCCACCTGGCTGCCCCCTGCCCCCTCCCGGCGCCTGCGGCCTCATCCCCTGAGGCGCCTCCCCCCTCCCCGCCGCACCTGCTGGCATTCCCCGGCCCACCCCCGGAACGCCCCCCCCAGGCGGAGGCCCCCCTCGCACAAGTGGCGGGCCCGGCCCCCTCGGCCCTGGTCCCAATCCCCTCCCTGCTGAAGCCCCTTTCACCAGAACCGGCCTGACCCCTCCCGGAAGAGAAACAGGCCCGGGCGGCCGCATCGCCCCCCTCCCCGGACCCAAAATCTGCATTGGTGCGGGCATGCCCTGGTGCATTGGGGGCCGGGGAACGAGCATGCCGGGCGCACCCGGAGGCCCCATTGCGCCAATTGGGATCATTGTGCTGGGCTGCTGTTCCCCTGGGCCAGGACCCGATGCCACCGATGCGGCATTCCCGGGGGGGTCCTCGCGCATCTCGGACGGCGCTTCGATGAGCGGTTCGCCGCCCCCTGAACTGCCGGGCGGAGCCACCGCAGCATCGAGGGGGTCCAATCCAGCTGCCCCTTCGCCCCCACCATTACCATCATTCTGCGCACCGGTCGCCCCATTCGAGGCTTCCGTCTTCTCCACTCCTGTGGGTGCAACTCCTGCGTCTGATTGGGCGGGTAAAAAGCTGTTCTGGTCATCGCCCTGCCCGCTTTCGTGAAAGGGGGAAGGAAAGGGCCCCGGGGCATGTGGCCCCGCCACCTCTACTTCGCCGGACATGGCACCGCATGCCAGGGGCGCGCATCGCAGGCGCCACCTTCCTGCTACAGCGCTACCTACCTAGCTACACACGCGTTCTGAACCCTGATCCTACCGCCATTGCGCGCTTTTGCAGGTCAGTTCCGACCCTATTAGAATAGGTACCTCGGTCTTGGGGAAGAAGGTCGAGCTGGGATGCCGTCGTTGCTTCTCAGCTTGGGAGATATTTCGAGTGCAATACTCTTTCTAAACTCATGCGGGCTCCAATTTACCGGTACAATTGTTTGAAGTGCTTGTGAGCTTCCTCAATTTGCCCCCAGCTATGCTTCAGCTCCAGTAGCAGCAGCAGGCGCATGATGGCAGTAGCTTTTGCGGCCCATCTTGAAGGCAGGCCCACAGCAAGGGTGAGGCTCAAGGTGCTGCATTCGGTGAGTCTTGTAGTGGAACAGCTCAGCTAGCAGTCCGAAAGTGGATCAGAGAGCAGCTTAGACAAAGCCCTGCTTCAATCGCTCCTATCAACCGGCTAGCGTCACCACTTCAAGGCCTCTTTGTCTATCTTTTGAAGGCAACATTCATTCAAGGGCATACAGCCTTCTGCTAAGGTTTGATTACCCAGCGAGTACGATTGACTTGGGGGACCGTAATTTGTTCCACCAGCACTCCGTGAGAACCATGTGCTGAGATCTCCACGCAATATCCTGACTTGGTGGCAAGATGGCCAGTGGGGACAAGCAGGACCCTTTCTCGGCGGCCACGGCGCAGCTAACGTTCCACAATTTTCTGGAGAAGATGCGCCACCCCAGCGCCGTCGACCTGGTGCGCGCCATCAAAGGGTGAGGCGCTGCGCAACCACTGGTGCCACAAAAAGCGCTTTGTTTACTGATATGCAGATCGCACCCCTCGCCAACATACAGACTCATGCAATGCTTACAAATGAGTATAGCTGCCACCAAAGAGATTGATTGAAGTTTTGAGAGTGGCAGCATTGGGAAATTGTTGAGTCTGAACGCAAGCTTGCTGAACTGGCTCTATGTGGTGCAGGTTCATCGTGTCATTCCAGGCCAGTGCGCCTGACCCCGACAAGGACAGCGCCGCCGTGCAGCAGTTCCTGGCGCAGACTGAGGCCACGTTCCGGGCGCATCCCCTGTGGGCGGGTGCCACTGAGGAGGAGCTCGAGAGTGCGGGCGAGGTGAGCGCAAGTGGCGGGGGAGGGCTAGGTGAAGTGGGCGCAAATTATTCGTTGTCCTCGTCTATGTTCGATCTAGGGGGGCCTCCTTGGAATAGCTAGTTCACAAAGTTAAGTTTAGTTGTTCAGGGCTGAACGCTGTCTGATGAGAAGAGATGTTGTGATCATGCTGGCCCTGCTGACACACTACACAGTACTTTTAACGCTGCGTCCAGCAACACTTGGTCTAAGACGGGCTGCTTTCGTCGCGACATGCATTGTGAAATCGCCTACCCAGCAGCGGCAAGGACATTTACCTTCCCACTGCCCCCTTCTATACTCCAGGGCTTGGAGAAGTATCTGCTGACCAAGGTGTTTGCGCGCGCGTTTGGCCCCATCCCCGCGGACGCCGCCACAGACCGCCTGCTGGCCGAGCGCATGGCCGCGCTGCAGCAGTTTCTGCGGCCCGAGCACCTCGACATCCCCGCCAGCTTTGGCAACGAGCCCTCCTGGCTGGCAAGAACACGCCTCCATATCGCAGCGCCATCACTGTTAGATGAGCCTTTAAAAACATCGTGGTCGAGTCATTGCGTGGACTGGTGGAAGATTGCTGACATGAGTCTCTGATTGGGACCTCTGCTACTTTGATCACCGTCCTTAATCAACAGCAGCTCGTCCATGGAAGCAGATTACTTGACTTTTCGAAGTCCTCAGTGAGGTACTTACTAGCTGCCCCAACAATCCAGACCTGTCTCAAGTCTCGCTTTTGCATTGAATTAGGCTTACGTTAACTCACACAGTTCCCTGATCCACACAAAGTAGAAAGGTAAACCCCGAGTTAACATGCTCCTCACCCGTATCCACCCTAAGCCCCAGAACATCTCCACCCGATCTCCGGGCAGTAACCTGTCTCAATAGCGGAGTACGACATAAGAGTGACCCGTCTTTCTTCGCCTGCCAGCTGGCGCAAAAGGAGCTGGGCAAGTTGGGCGCATACAAGGCCCCTCGCGACAAGCTGGTGTGCATTCTCAACTGCTGCCGCGTCATCAACAACCTGCTGCTCAACATGGCCATGGCCGCGCAGGGGGATCCCCCTGGAGCAGACGACTTCCTGCCGGTTCTCATCTATGTCGTCATCAAGGTGAGTATGTGATTGCTGCTTCATTAAGGAAGTCGTATTACTGTTCTTAAGAGTCCGAAGTATCGACGGAAGGTTTTATTCCGTGATGGCAATGGGAAGTACCTTAGGTTCACACCCGCAGAGGTGTACATGACAAGCGTGCAAGCAGAAGCCTCAAGTCGCATCAGAGTGCAGGCTCGAACATCCAAACGTTTGGCGTGCGATCGGTCTTCATTGTTGCATGGTACTTCGCTGACAATTGTCCAGACACGTCTAACGGACCTAACGGACCCAGCTTATCTTCGGAGTCAGATTCGGCAGCAGTTATGTTTCATTTGCCATTCCTAGAACATTTGATGTAGGGGTTCGCTAGCCGAAGCCTAGATGGCAGACGTTCTTTGCCATGATCATCAGCCTCGGCCCTCAGCCCTCATCGACAGTCGTTTGTAAAAAGCTCGTCGGATGCTTCCGTCTGAGGCTCTTCTGACGCCCCTATTCCAATCGTACTGTCCTACTAGAAGCCCTCTTCGAAACCTTCCGTTATTGCTGGTGACATCAGCCTCACCCCCACCGCTTCCAGGCCAACCCCCCCGCGCTGCACAGCAACCTGCAGTTCATCCAGCGCTACCGCGCCGCGTCGCGCCTTGTGGCCGAGTCCGCCTACTTTTTCACCAACGCCGTCTCGGCAGCCGCCTTCATCGAGCACCTCAACCCCTCCTCCCTCTCCATCGACCCCGCTGAATTCGAATCCAAGATGCAGCAAGCGCTCGCGCAGATCCCCCCAAATATTTCCGACGGGACTCCCCCCCAAGCACGCAAGGCCAGCACTCCCCCCGGAAAGGCAGGCGACCTGCCCCCCCGTCACAATCGTTCGCACTCCGAGGGGGACACTAGCCCGCGGATAGCGACGCAGCCTGGCATGAGCAACAGCGGGTCTTCGCCAATGCTGGTGACGGCTGATGCTGCGGCAGGGGGTTTGGCGGCACGCGCGCCGGCGCCTCCCCCCAGCCCCGGGTTGACCGTGTCCCCGGCCGACAGCGCCTCTGCGCCGCTGACGCAGCCAGGTGACGAGCAGGGCTGGATGCGACCTTGATTATTGCAAATAAAGCCTGTGGCTGAAAGGATCGTCAGAGCTGAGGGTCGGCGAGCTTTTGAAACCCCTCCGTTCTAGGAGATTGGTAGCACGCAGATTGGGAGCAATCAAAATTTGCTAAGTCCTGCTTTCTGCGACCTTCTGAAAGCTGTGACGGAGACTAGCTCAAAGAAAGGGTCTCGGGTTTTTTCCGAAGTAACTTGATACAGCTAGAGCTTCATACTCGTCGTAGTGATCAATTACACCTCAGAGGTCACCTGCTGCTTTCCCTCCTCCTGCTTCCCACCCCTGCTTCTGCTGAACTTCCCGCTTTCCGGACCCGCCCACCTTTTCCCGTAAAAGGAAAAGGTCCTTCAGTCCCTAATACTTCCGAAGCACTGCCCCTCTCTCAGGGGACTCCCTGGCGCAGCTCGAGGCGCGCGGCGCGGCCGCAGTTGTCAGCGCTGCGGAGAGCGGACAGCTGGCGCGCGACTACCGGTTCCTGTACACGTCAGTGGGCGATCTGCGGGTGGGCGACGTGGACGCCCTGCTGACCGAGTACAAGGAGCTGGTGCTCAAGTACGAGGCCCTTGCACGGGGCTTGCAGGAGCGTAACGCGGGGCTGGCGCGGCAGCTGGGCGTTACAGCGGCCGAAAGCGGTGGTCCAGGACAGTCGGAAAGCGAGTCGGGGGCGGGGAAAGGAGACTCGTTGAAAACTGCGGCTACTGGCAACGGGCCGGCCGGTGGGTTCAATGAGGGGAAAGCTTTGGAGGCAGTAGACGGGATGCCGGGAGGAAATGGGACCGGCGCCGATGAGTCGTCAGGGGATAAGGAGGCGACGTTGGCACAGGAGGGGACTGGATTGGCGCGAGGAGAGGTGCAAGGAGAGGCGTCGGCGCCTCAAGAAGCGGGCAGTCACGCGGGAGGCGCAGGACAGGCAGGGAGCCAGCCAGAGGCAGGAGTTGCGAAAAGTGGTGAGGAAAAGTCTGAAAGTGAAACGGCTGAGCAGCACAACCATCGTTCGGAAGTACATCGAGGACAGGGGCATGATATGGACAGAGAAGAGAAAAGCGAAGCACAGGGAAGCCGCGCAGACTCGGAACCCTTTGCGGAAGCAGGCGACGGTGAGGCCTCGAGAAGAGCGGAGATCGAAAGTGATAGGCAAGCACGCCGCAAAGCGGAAGGACAAGAAAGTGGAGGCGGGCAGCCTTCGGATGACATGGGCGAGCACGCACCGGAAGCCGCTAGGAGCACAGGTGTTTCAGCGGGGCTAGTGACTTCTTCGGACGAAAGTCTAGCGGCGGTGAAGGGAGTCGATGAGCAGAGTTAACAAGCCGCTAGCCGCTAAGCTGCTCCCGGAAGATGGCTATGCATGTGCAACTGAAGAAAGTTGCAGATGAGGACGGACTCCAGAACTTGGAAGAGGACATGCCCCAGCATACATGAAGAGATTTGCGCAGGTTCTTACTCGGAGGCCTTGCAATGCGCTGATTCGATTGAAGCGCAGCAATTGACTGCTGGCAGGGCAACTTCTAAACGGACTCAGAGTCCGGTCAAGCACGAAACAAATTGGACCTGATTGACATGCTTGCGCGAAGTACATCTGAGGCACGCATGTCTTATACTTTGAGACTGGGTGATTGTCACGTATGCTTGACGAGCCGCAACATGTACGTCTGCCAGACTAGAAGATTGGATAGCAGCGTGACTTGCAATTGTCTGGATAGTTTCATGGGCCTTGGCATGCAGGCAGTGTGGCCATGTACGCGTTGAACAATTATGATCCATGCATGGAATACGGTCTGGCATCATGCATACCGTCAATCAATAATCCATGCGACGTACCTGAGTCATTTTGAGCGCACCATCGCATGATGGCATGCAGACAGCAATTGATTGCCTTCCATACGCAGATCGGAACCATCCACCTAGAATCACATGAATAACTCGTCTCTCGTCACCAGTCTCCAGCTACTGTCATCGTCCGCTGTCAAAGGCACTCGCCGCACCACGTCCGCTCCGACTGCGAGCTGACCATCTACAATGACAGCCATCAGGAGCACCAGCTCCCCCTCTTCGCTTTTGTATGGCTCCTCTCCCGTGAACTCAAATCCAAGGCTTTCGGATGCACTCACTTCTTCCTCTTTTGGATCGACAATCTCCACTTGCAACTCGCTTCCATCTTCCGCCGTTGCTGTTGTGGTAGGCCCAGCCGCAGCATCACTGTGTGTCAAGGTAAGCATCCGGGTACAATCCATGCTGCCGAGGAGAGGCCGCAGGTTCTCATACGACACAACCGCAGGCGCGCCGGCCGGTACCTGTGAACGCGATGAAAGAGGCCTTCAGATATACCCCAGATTTCGCTTTGAAGTTACTCTGGGAGATGGCTCTGATTGAGGATTTTCAACAAAGATGTAAAGGGTACGTAACCAGTGGACGGCCACTCCAGGCTTTGGACGCTTGAAGGTGGTTCATGCCAGGACAAATACTTTCACTTCAAAGCAAAAGTCAGTCGAGTCTATCACCTCGCTTTGAGTGTCAGCGTCCGCTGGCCGTTCCATCTTCCATCGTGGCATGTACTCCACCTCAAAGCTGACGCTGTCAAATTGCTGCTCGTCATCTGGTAGTCGCTGCCGCTGCGCCTGGGGCCCAAACCCGCTCCCGGCACTGCTCACTGAACGAGCCGTCACTGTCTCACGCACAAGCACAGCCCCCCGGCCGTAAGCAGCCAGTCCCTTTGTGGCTGCGTCGATGATTAACTGCGTAGAGGAAAGGACGTTCTGTGTTCTAGTTGGCAAAGGAAAAGCTTCGTGGGACACATTTAGGACGAGTAACTCTTAAATATTTGATTCTCGGGTCCCTTCGCACCATCGATAGAGGGGTTGATCTCACCGAGCAACTTCGTGGACTCATTTTGTGGAAGGCGACACTGAGCAACACACCGACAGTGAACTTGAGTCTTCCATCAGTGTCATAGAACCAGAAAGCAACTAGCCAGGGCTCCAAAATCAAGGCCAATTGATCTTGGAGTCGACTGTTTGCTAAAAACTACATCTTGGCCGCTCACTTCAAATCAGGAAACCTGGGAGTGGCGCACCTTTGCTCGCTCCGGGTCCTCACTCCACTTCTCGAACGCCACGTCCCAAAACATCATCAGGTCTTCAAAAGGCCAAGGTTTTGGTTTGGGCCTCCCCGTGCTTGGTTTCTTCTTAGACTTTGCTTTTGCCTTTGTACACCTTGGGCTTTGACGCACCAGGTGTGTGCGCTCCTGAAGCCCCTGAGCGGTCCACCCCGACACTAGCGCTTCTCGTGACTGTGCCCCGGAGAAACTACTGCTTGATATGCCCGCAATTGCTTTACAGCGGCTCCTCTGGTCTTGACATTCCCAACTACTCAAGAGCGCAACTATTGAAAAGGGTGGTGTAGAATGCTGGCCGCCCGGTCGGTGCGTGAACCCAACAGGTGATGCCCGCGGCAAACTCCGCTGTACAAATGATGGTCTTACCAGCGCATCAGCTGGCGCCATGCTGGAGACAACCTAACAAGATCCAATGCACCCTCAACGCTGCGGTGAAAAGCCACTCACTTTACTGAAGGGCACATTTGCAATGCAGGTTAAGTTTGGGGCTGCTTCGCTTCAAAGTCGTCCACAGCCGTCCCTTCCTGAGAATTGAATTGCCGAAGTGCCAAAACTTGTCAGATGTCTGCCCTTCAACTTTGAATTCCCGGTGCAGTGCAGGGGTCTAGAAGATAACACTCAAATTGACATTACCCACGCTCCAAACCGATCGACGGTTAAGGTTCCTATCGAGCTTGAAGCCCATCCCTGTCAGAGCAGCAAAACCTGGCACTCTTTCTAACCAGATTAGTCGGTGACCCCAGGTTACGACGTGAAACTTGTCTTGCAACCCGTTCGGTTTGACAAAGAAAGCAGGAAAGCGCAGCTACACTGTTCCTGTTGACATCAGAACAGAGTCCAGGCAAAGTTGCTCAAGGGCGCTCCAGAGTGCAATTGCCATGGCGCTAGGTAGAGAGGCCATTCTGGCCCGCCATGTTCTCCGCTCTCTGCAGCAGCACTACCTCCGCAGACATACTGAGGCTCTGGGGGCATGTAGCACCAGCTATGCTGAAGCGGGAAGCAGGCCAGTTCACAATTCAGCTGCCCGCACAGCGAGCTCTGCTGACCCAGCGTGCAACCATGGCGATCATGGCCATCCGTGCAGTCCTGCTGGCAGCTTGCATGCATCCACCAAAAGTTGGATACACGGGAGTGCCAGGAATGTAGGTGGGATTGAACATAGGTTGGGATCAGGAATGGAGATGGGGGGTTTAGGAGTGCAGCATCAAATCAGGACCATGGTGCTTGGCATTGGGGACGGGGACGAAGACAAGGACCATGCACGGCATCATCAGGAGGAGAGAGTCATTGGGTGAGACTTTCCTTCTGCGGTTACTTGCTGCGTCAAAGGGAGTGGTGCCGTGCCGAAGGTATGAGAACGCTTAGATTCTGCAGGCGGACTGATTCTTCAATCATGCTCTTTCTAGCCCCACTCACTGATATTGCGATGGGTACAAAGCGGGTCCACTTCTGAAGGGCTAACATACCCAGATTGCAGGATTGAGCTGAAACGGTCGTTCAGATGGAAAAGAGTAGCTTGAAAATCAAGTTTGCATATGTTTGTGAGAGAGTGGTTGAGAGATTTTTCTGTAGGTGGTGGCAGAAGCGGCTCATTCCCTGTGCGTCAAGTTTCTTGTAAAGTGGGCTGCTATTGGACTACAGCCATTCATACCGCAAGTGGGCGTATTTGATATGGTGAACATAAAGCTGACTAAGCTCTTCTCCTGTCTTTAGGTACCCCCCTGACCAGCTCTTTGACGTTGTGGCCGCAGTCGACTTTTATGAGGACTTTGTACCGTGGTGTCAACGAAGCGAGATTCTGATAAGGAAGCAGGAGGGGCCAGTAGAGGAAGTGGAGGCAGAGCTAGAAGTGGGCTTCAAAATATTTACAGAGAGCTACACAAGCCACGTGACCCAGGAGAGACCACGATATGTGCGGGTGCGTCAACATTCCATTTGTGTACGAGTACACAATCTGAATCATCCAATGTAAATGGCTTCCGGGATGGCTGCAACAATGCTTCAAAATTATGTGAGAAGTTTGGGATTGTGATGATGTTCAAACAGAATTCTTGCTGTTCAGGAGTCCTCCCCAGTCACCAGGAATGAGATGCCTATTCAAAACGGGTCTTTCCAGTCACCCAGGATTGATCTAACACAGGTCTTCCGTCTACTCACGATCGAGCACAAGGAGTCAGTAGGTGCCAAAGCAACTGATACTTTCGTAAGCACGACGCTTTCGTTGCACCGGGTTTCCCACAATCACTCACATGCGTTGGTTTTGGCTTCTTGTGCAGTCGACAGTTTCAGGCAGTAATCTGTTTGAGTACCTGGACTGCTTGTGGGAGTTTAACAGCGGCCCCACTCCCAACAAGACAGCGCTCAAGTTCCGAGTTGACTTCCAGTTCCGATCACCGCTCTATCATAGGGTAAGTCTTAACCTCTACTAGAGCAGACATGCGTGATGTTTGTCAAATTCGGAATCTGGGATGCATCTCAGCATCCGGGGTCTTGAAACTAAAAGGTCAGCGGGGGTCGTCTTCAAAATAGGGGCCCCGGTCCCGTGCAATCTTCGTTGGCCTTGACTGCGCATAGTGATTACGAACAATCTTCTAACAATGTTCCGACCTTCCAACGATAAGCTGGTGGAGTCTAGTTGGTCGGCCAGCCATTGGGCTCAGCCGGTAATACTTCCCGGCGTTTCTAAGGTTTCGTTCCATCCACATCAAATACTGGGACAGTTTTGTAAGGTTCGCATACCGTGATTCGAACCGTGTCTCCCCGCAGGTTGCCAATCTGTTTTTCGACGAAGTAGCAGCTCGAATGGTGTCGTCCTTTGAGAGAAGATGTGAACAAGTGTACGGGCCACCCATTGAAGACCCGGTTGTCTCCAATGTAGAACAATAACGGTGAGGATTATGCTCTTGCGCACTCGCTCGAGCGGTTTTTTGAGGAATTACAGGAATCTATACGGGTGGGCTCGGGCATGTCATCCGCTTTATCTGGATTTGTTATAGTGCTATTATATCAAGGCAATGTCATTGGCTTCTCGCTTGCTGAATCCATTCTATGTTAATGCATGTACACAGTGATCGCAATGGGTTCGGAGAATGCTGTCATGATGGTGTCGAAGCATGCATCAGGTGATCGCCTGCATCGCTCGTGACTCTGGTTTACTAGTCACTATGATCAAATCTGTGATTCTTCAATCGCGGTTTTTTATGTCAGCCGCCCCCTGAAACAATAGCGCGGCACACTGTCTGATCGACGACTCAATTGTATACTTTCACGCCGCATGCATCAATCGGACAATTCATCTATGATAATATGC